CCCACGCACATTTTCATACCCCCTTTTCCCTTATCCACGTTCTCGTCATACAAATATTATCAAAAATAACCGAAAAACAATCCTAAACTGAAAGCCTAGCAAAGTTTAAAATAAGTACAAGTATGTTTTCGACTATTGATAGGATCTTTCACAACCAGCCCTTCATTTCAACGGACTGTATCTACACTCCAACAACTATCTCACTGCAACACCTAAAATCACTTTTACCTTCCGAAAAAATAATTTTTAGTTACTTCATATTAAATTCTACGAGAAACCAGTTTCACCGATGGACAAACTACAGCCATTATCTTATTAATCCACGTCCAATATGAAGTCTCAACCAACCCCTAAAATATACAACGCAACTGCTACTCACACAATGCTTAGTACCTCGACGCTCAAATGTATGCTCCCACAGCGTCTTGTTATCTTTAATCCAAGATACAGGTGCGCTCGGATCAAAAGACAGATTTTCGGGCAACTATCTAGAGGGCAAACGATTCTTTACGATTGGAAAATTTTCAAAATTTCGAGATCTTTACGATTCTATGGCCTGTTTCAAACGTCGTGCTACTGCAGTGCTAAGCTGGCTCGACTGTAACTTGACTGCAGCACGACACTAGCACGACTTGGTTTCAGACGTGGAATTTAATTCTGTGGAATTGAACGGCTGTTGCCGAAAACAAAACGCAAAAATAAAGAAACGGTTTAGCAAACTTTTAAATGCATTCTAATGTATTTATAATGTATGAACTGAGTTCGAAATTGAAATGAAAATATTGAATTAAAATTCGACTTTAACACGACGTTTGAAACCAAGTCAAGCTACTGCCGCGTAGCACGGCTTGGTTTCAACCGTCGCGCTACTACCGTGCCAAAGTCGAATTTAATTCGATCAGTTGAGTTCGGCACGGCATTAGCACGTCGTTTGAAACGGGCCTATGACACTTACAGAAAATTCAGTGACCATTAATTATTTGGGCGTCGCCGTTTTGATTCAAAGTTGCAATAGGCACGCAATACGTGCTAACGTAAACAAACCAAGTAAACAAGCCAAGCGACGCGAATACCTACCGCGCGATGTGTCACGACACAGCATTTATCCTCGTTACGTACGTCCCAAAGATAACGCACAAACAAATTGGCAGTAGAAAACAAACGTATTGAAAAAACAAGGTACACTCAGAGTGAAACAAACTATTAAATAATTTAAAGTATCCCTTTGGAAAATAATTGTCCTCGAAGCACACGATGTGAATGTTTTTTTCCTTCAGACCATTGCTAGTGGTCAATGCCGTTTCCACGGGTTTGGCCTCTTGCCCAGAGTTTGACAATATTTTTGCCCTCAGTTTTTGAGAGCCAAACAAGATGTCAAGGAAAATTCCTGATCGTGCACGAGATAAATAAGGGTATCATTGAATGATCCATAATTTCATTGCAGATTTTGGGAGAGGAGGTGATATCATATCTTAAAATCTTATTGAGCAAAATGATCTCGTAAACAAGTTGCGTTCTTTCACGTTCGAACCATTAATTAAAGGGACAGAGTCCAACATCTTCCATGCAAACTGCGTGCGTGACAGTTATTTTTAAAACCCTTGGGTAGGTTAACTCGTATTCTCATACACGAACCACGAAAGCGACAAATTCCAAAGCTTTCCCGTGCAAACTGCGAGACAATATTACTCACAGTAAGGGCCCGATCACATAAGCTGGGCTAGCTAGCTCTGCCTAAGTGACTTTTATCCAGGTAAGAAGCTTTTTCACTTACGTGACCAGCATCTATTCAAATTTATGGGAACAAAAGAAAGCGTTTACATGAGAAAAGTTCCCACAGGACTGGTTTGAAACACCAATATGGCCGCCGTGACGTCATGTAAAAACGCTCTATTACATGAAAAGGGCCAGCCCGGAGCCGCCATTTTTATATAGAGATTGGAAGCAATGCGCTTTAGCAGGGTTATCATTAGATCCCATCGACCGTAGCCTCTTCGGACACCTCATGAAATTTACACAACGTAGTTTTCCCCTTTACCTGTTAGGGTTAAGCAATATTTAACAATTATTCCACAAGTGCGCGTTGGATATGAGTTGGCTATAATCATCTCATATCCAACAAGCGCAAGTGGAATGATAAACGCCCCCCAAATATTGAGGGTTCTTGCCGAGTTTTCTATTTGTAAAAACAACCGATTTTCAGCTTGTTTTAATTTTGAGCAGACCCGTAGTTACCATATTTGGAGAACATTATTTTTGGTATAATGAACTATAATTATACCATGATGGCGAAGCCAATCAGAGCTCTAGAATTACATTATCCAATGATTCAGTTTTTAATTATAACAGTTATCAACATTTTCTGGTAAATTCAGTTTGGTACAGAGGCGTTCGATCCCTTACTGGTCACCGGATTTAACGCGAGGTCAGCATTTACGATTCCCTCGCCGCGAAAGAAGAACGATGAACGTCTTTTAAAACTTTACGTCCAACTAGAGAAAGCATCTGTTTCTGAACTTTTTAGCTACAATCATGGACAAAAGTCTTGGGACACTTTTGCGTTTCTGGGGTGTTTTCCAGTTCACACAGGTCCAACCCCTCCCATCACCCCACAAAAAATGTTGGACGCGTCTAGCCAGAATTTTTTCCGAATTTAAACTTTTTATAGGGTGGGGGGAGGGAGAAGTGCAAGAAAATTTCGAAAATGATGCACTGTTTTAAGTGGGAACCGAGAAATCACAGAAAAATATGAATACTGCAGTACTGTCCCAAGGACTTTTGTCCAGGATTGTAGTTGGACCACGTACGTGATCGTTCGACAGCGCTTTATTTCTCTAGTCAAAAAATGTACCTTTTACGAATCAAAAATTTTCGAAACGGATTTACCCCTTAAATTGACTGAAAAGACTGACCGCATCTCGTCAACTTTTCATTACTCGCACCTCCCAACTCACAACTAGCAACTTCACAACTCGCAAAATACTCTTTCGATGTAAGACACGTAATTATAATTTTTTTATCACCGTGCATATAAATCGAATTACAATGTTTTTAAACTCTGCTTTGATTTCAGAAATGACGCTTCACGATCAGCTAAGAGTGGTAATCGAGCAGCAACTACTCCGTCACTTCAATGAGGTAAAGGATCTGTCTAAACAAGAGCAACTAAGGGCTGAAGAAGATTACAAAACGATTCAAGAACTGTGGGAGAAGGGCAACATTCTGCACAAAGTGGAACGTGCTGTTGAGAGTTCACGTGCTGCTGCTGAAAAACTAGACGAAGTGTGGGCCAAATGCCAGATGGCTCATGCATGGGGATCATTGGCTGGAATAATCGGAGGAGGTCTCACAATCGGAGGAGGAATTGCGACAATAATGACTGCAGGGGTTGCCTCACCTCTCCTTTATTGGGGATTAGGTGTGGGAATCGCTGGAGCCGGTACAAACGTAGCGACAAAAATTTTAGAGGTAATTCGAAATTCGCGTGAAATTAAAGAAGCCGACGAGGATATCAAGGAGGCCCTAGAAAGCTTAAGAAAAGCGAAGATTACAATTCAGGATGTGTTGGATAAGAAAAACAAATCCTACGTGCTGTACATCTTCAAACTCGCATGTAAATCGCCTAGCCCGACTTGGAAGATCCTTGCTACTTATTTGTACTCCAGAGGGATAATAGATGCAATGGTTTTCGAAGCATGCCAGGCTGGTGTTCATGCAGCAGCACAAGGAACACAAGCAGCGGGCCACGCCAGTGCACAAGGCGCTATGAAGGCAAGTGGACAAGTGGCTGATGATGTGATACAAGTTGGTGTTAAATCAGGCAGTCGAATGGCGGGTAAAGTGATGCTCATTAGCGTCAGCGCTGCTATGTTGCTGTGGGATGCCATAGATCTGACCTGGACGATCTACGATCTGGTCAAGAACAAGGGATCTGAAGCGGCAAAAGATTTGAGGAAAAAGGCCGACGAACTCGAAAAAATTTACATTGACGTCTGAGACAATGTCATATTGAAAACCGGGTATGATTATCACTCGATTATGGCATCGCATGAACACTATAAAGCTTGTCAGAAGAGTCTTTTTACAGAATTGTTGATTACTATCCTTTTAGACAATTACATTTAGCCTATATTTTTAGAAGTCATTTTTGTAGAATCTGGTCATTAGAAGTAAATCACAAAGGATGCCTTACACCGTTTTAGGAACTAAATGCAACCGCGGAATCAACTCAAATGGTATTAAAAAAGACACTATATTAGTTTTATTTGTAGCTCTTCACTTTTCTATAACAAAGAAACAAACAACAACCTATATTGAATATTCATAGCTAGACAATAAGTGCGTCGCCTAGAATATGTACTAACCATCTGATTGATTTTTATTTGCATAGCAAGTCAGTGAAAGACCATAATACATGTCTTAATCACCTTTTGGGCGTGATTAATTATCACAAAAGCCCGGGCCGGGATGAAACTCAGTCGGGCGTTTTGAACCGATGATGTCTCACTTCAAGAAATTGCAATTTATTACATTAATAAAGTTTGGTTTGAGGTCACCGAGTTGAAATCTGAAGCGAACAGACGCTAGGCTATAGTGAGAGAAAACACGGCGCCTATTTTGCAGAGGGTATTCTTTGGACTCGTCGAAGAAACTAACGCTCCTCGGCAAATTTTCCCGCCAATCTAAAATTTCGAGTGTCGAAATTCCCCAGATAAAAGCAAGGTACCTTTGCCTGGTGGGCTGGGGGAAAAGGAGTTAGTAGAAGGAACAAGACCAAGAGGCTAGCAACGATTGAGGGATCGGACTGAATACGAAGCGTGATATCTTTAAAGGGATAGCCCAGGATACAATCACGTTTGATCTATTTGATGTGTTCAGTCAAGCATAGGGGCCATGTCAACTTCGAGATGATTTTTGTACATACTCTTAACTTTGTTGGAAAAATGACCGCGACCATAGAGCAACCAACAACGATTATTATACAGTGATACAATTTTGCT